CTCAAATTGCCCCTCTCGCCGCTTCCTATCGGCATACCTTTTCATGACCCGTTGAGCCCGGAGGTGGTTAACCTTCAATTCATCCAACATGAGCTCCCTCTCCTGTAATTGGACCTCCATCGAACCGATTGGTGTTTGACCAGCCTCGATCTTCCATAGTCGCGGAGGTGCGTGCCCATAAACAACCTGAAATGGTGTGAGTTTGGTAGAAGAGTGAGGTGAGGTGTTGTAAGCATACTCTACCCAATGAAGCCAGGATGCCCAATTCCGCGGCTGTTCGACGATGAAACACCGGAGGTAAGCCTCCAATCCCTTATTAACCACCTCCGTCCGGCCGTCCGGTTGGGTTGGTAGGTGGTGCTTCGTTTGAGTTGTATGCCCTGTAGCCGGAAGAGTTCCCTCCAAAACCCACTCATAAAAATACTATCCCGATCGGAGACAATGGACTTCGGAACCCCATGTAAACGGACCACCTCCTTAGTGAAGGCTTCGACCACCTTGACTGCCGTGAATGGGTGTCTCAACCCAATAAAATGGGCATACTTTGAAAGCTGATCCACAACTACCAATACCGAGCCCACTCCCTTGGAAAGAGGAAGACCTTCCATGAAATCCATCGACACATCTTCCCACACCAATTCCGACACCGGTAGAGGTTGAAGTAGCCCTAACGGTGTCTGTTGGAGCTTTTGTTGCGTTGGCAGACCTCACAACGGCGCACATAGTCGTCGATTTGACGACGCATCCCCACCCAAAACCATTCGGCGGCAACTCGGAGGTAAGTTTTGACCTCCCCCTCGTGACCGCCGGTCGGTGAGTCATGGTACTCGTGCAACAGCTTTGGCGGAAGGGGGAGGAAGGACCACCCTTCCTTTATATTTCGCGAGTCCAGCGTCCAAATGAAACCCCACTATGTTATCCTCCCCTTTTTCTAAGCCCAAACGAATTTGGGCCAACCATTTACAGGCCTTCATCTCATCCTTCAATGCCTCCCACTCCACTTCTTGAGAGCAAGTCAATGCACCCAATTGTGTCAAATACTGATCTCTGCGTGATAACGCATCAGCTACACGGTTGGAAGCCCCAGGTCGATACTGGACCTCGAAGTCGAACCCCACTAATTTACGCATCCACTTTTGATACTCGCTACCCACCTCTCGTTGTTGGGTAATGTAGCGGAGACTTTGTTGATCGGTTCAAACAATGAAATGTCGCCCAAGGAGGTAGTGCCTCCACTTGACGATAGCAAGGACTATGGCCATGAGTTCTTTCTCATATATCGACTTTTCTCGGGCTCTCATGCCATGTAGTTTGCTATAATAGGCTATGGGCCGACCCTCTTGCATTACGGCTCCAACTCCAAATCCGGAGGCATCCGTCTCAACCACAAACACCTTGGTGAAATCCGGCATGGCTAGAACGGGAGCCGAAATCATGGCCCTTTTGAGAGCCTCAAAGGCTTGAGTAGCCTCCTCCGTCCAACCAAAGCTATCCTTCTTGAGTTGGGCCATTAGTGGACCCGCAATTTGGGCGTACCGTAGGACAAATTTCTTATAGTATCCGGTAAGCCCAAGGAACCCTCGTAGTTCTTTAGGTTTCGTGGCACCTTCCATTGCAAAATAGCTTCGATCTTTTCCCCATCCATGGCTACTCCCTTAGCCGAAATCACATGACCCAAATAGGCCACCCCCGTTCTTCCAAACTCACATTTTTTACAATTGGCATACAACTCATTTTTTGCTAGCAACTCCAACACCATCTTCACATGTTCTCGATGCTCCAATTCATTCCTACTATACACCAAAATATCATCAAAGAAAACGAAAACAAATTTTCTCAAGAAGGGTCGAAACAATTCATTCATGAGAGATTGGAAGGTGGCCGGGGCATTGGTTAACCCAAACGGCATTACCAAAAACTCATAGTGCCCTTCATGAGTTCGAAAGGCAGTTTTATAAGTATCTTCTTGATGATAGCACGATTTCAAGTCAAGCTTTGAAAACATCGTGGCTCCATGCAACTCATCAATCACCGGAATGGGGTATTTATTGGGAACCTTCTCCTTATTCAAGGCCCGATAACCTACACAAAACCTCCATGAACCATCCTTTTTCTTCACAAGCAAGACCGCTTAGTGTGCTGTTAATTTAAAGCAACTCGCCAACAATTTACTCAAGATAGCAGTACAAACAGTTTAATCTAAAAGTAGGTTATGAATCTCTATGTAACTTGAGGTTACAACTCTCCAAAAAGTTTTCTCACAAATTTCTGGATAAAAAACTCCAAATGTCCAAGCTTCCCCTTAAGTATTACAAACTCCTGCATTTTAATCTAAAAGTAGATAAAGCAAGGGTAATGAAACAAGAGCCTAAAGTCTTCTTTCTTAATTGGTTGCTTCCTTTTGTTGCCTTGCTCAAAATGGTCTCTTCCAAAAAGTAGTCTTTCTTCATGTGTTTGTTGCTTAATGCCTTGTGTTGCTTCTGCCTTCTCTGCCTTGGTGCTGCTTAGTGTGCTGTTGTTGTTCCGTCGTGATCTGTTGCCTCGGACGCCAAGTGTATACCTGAAAACGTTGACCCGTATTTGGGTCCATAACAGAAGATAGTGGCGTGTGGGAGTAAAAAGTTCTATTTATACCCCACAAAAAAAATGTTGTACAAACCCTAACTTGTATATATCGCGGGTCGGAGTCGGACCCGGGTTGGGTCCATCGGACTTCAAGTAGGGTCCAAGTCCGATCCAACTCCATTTGGACTCGGACTTTTTAAATCGAACTCAGTTTCAGATTTTTCTTTTTCGGATTTGGATCGGACTTTTTTCTTCGGATCGGATATGTGTGCATAATGGGATATGAACTTTCTATAATAGCCCATCAAATCAAATTCAGTACAGATTTCCAAGCAAGGGGTGGTTGTTGACTAAGAGAAACTGAGATCCATAATTAGTTGGCCCATCCCAAAGACCTTGACAGACTTGGGGGTTTTCTAGGCCCGACGGGCTATTATAGAAAGTTCATATCCCATTATGCCCACATAGCCCTGACGAACTCAAGAAAGATAGTTTTAAATGGTCAGAAGAAGCAACACAAAGCCTTTGAAATCTGAAAAGAGCGATGTCTTCTGCCCCCTGTTCTAGGGATGCCAGATTTTCAGAAGGTTTTCATCATGGAAACCGACGCCTCGGGATTCGGGCTCGGTGCGGTGTTGATGCAGGAAGGGAAGCCAATTGCCTTCTTTAGTAAGATGTTGGGGTCGAGAAATCGAAGCAAGTCGATTTATGAGAAAGAATTAATGGCGGTTTGCTTGGCACTACAAAAATGGAAGCATTACTTGTTGGGAAGAAGGTTTATTGCTCGTAGTGATCAACAAAGTCTGCGTTTTATCACTCAACAACGAGAGGTCAACATGGAATATCATAAATGGGTTAGGAAATTGATTGGGTTCGATTTCGATTTTCAATATAAACCCGACATCTCTAATCAAGTGGCGGATGCACTTTCGAGAAGGGGGGAGGATCCAGGCGGAATTAGGGGCGCTAGTTACAACACAAGGGGTGAATTGGGATGAGTTGGAGAAGGAAATTGCGGAAGATGGGGTGCTGGATAATTTACGAACAGAAATTCTAGGCAGGTTGCTATACAAGAGAAGATTGGTGATAGCGAAGCAATCCCACCTGAAATTAACGTCACTCGAGCATATCACGATTCGCCGGAAGGGGGAAGGGGGTCATGCCAGAGAAACAAAAACATACTTGAGGTTGGCGAGGGAATGGTTTTGGCAAGGGATGAGGAGAGATGTGGCGAATTATGTGCGGGCTTGTGATGTGTGTCAACGGAACAAATACTCTCAACAAAGTCCGGCAGGGCTGTTGCAACCACTACCGATTCCGGAGGAGGTATGGGAAGATATCAGCATGGATTATGTGGAGGGCTTGCCTCGTTCAAAGGGAATTGACACCATCTTTGTGGTGGTCGATCGTCTTTCGAGGACTGAGACATCCTTTTTCGGCGATGACGGTGGCTGAGGTTTTTGTGAAGGAGCTTGTGAGATTACACAGTTTTCCGAACAACATAGTATCTAACCGAGATAGAGTGTTCTTAAGTATGTTTAGGAAGGAATTATTCCGGTTGCACGAGACTAATCTGCGCCGGAGTACGTCCTACCACCCTCAAATGGATGGTCAGACCCAAGTGGTCAATAAGGGGCTTGAAACTTACTTATAGAGTGCTCTGTTGGTGATCAACCTAAGTCATGGGCTAAGTGGTTGGCATGGGCTGAATATTCATACAACACTGCAACGCACTCCGCTACACAGACATCACCGTTTTAAGCTTTATACAGCAGAGAACCTCTAAAATTAATCAAAATAGGGGCTGGAAGAACTACTATAGAGTCCTTGGACGAGATGCTACAAGAGAGAGACGTGATGTGGGATGAGTTGAAGTTTAATTTAAGTCGAGCATAGCAAGTTAAGAAGAGAAGTGCTGATTCAAAGAGGAGAGATAAGAATATTCAGGTCGGGGAACATGTACTTCTCAAACTACAGCCATACTGACAGCGTTCACTTGCAAAAAGGTCGTTCGAGAAATTGTTTACTCATTATGGGCCGTTTGAGATAGTTCAGAAGGTGGGCAAGGTGTCCTATAAGCTTAATTTGCCGGAAGATTGCCGGATTCACTCGGTATTCCACATCTCCCAACTCAAGCACGCAATTGAAGATCATCCGAATTCGGCCACAATTCTTGATCAAATTACTCCAGAATTGGAATTAATTGTGGAACCGGAGTCCGTGTTGGATAGTCGGATCATACAAGGGAAGGTTGATTCGCAAGAGGTCTTGGTCAAATGGAAGGGGCTTCCGGAGTTTGAGGCTGCGTGGGAGGAGGTGAAATCGATCAGACCGTTTTCCGACTTCCACCTTGAGGACAAGGTGGTGCTTTGGGGGGGGGGGGCGGTAATGTAATGAATTAACCCAAGCCACCCATCCTCTACACGTACAGCAGGAGACAACAGCAGCAGGAGGCATAAACAATTCACAACAACAAGCAACAGCAGAATACTAAGGCTGCAGGGGACCGTTTACTTTATTTTGCCAGTATGTGGAAGAATACAAATTTAGTTGTAGCAATTAAGGTTCATGCCACTTCAGTGTAATAGCAAGTAGTTTAAATAGCAAGAAGTAGGGAAAGAAAAGATTCATTCAGAAATTTGTATTGGAACCCCTTGGAGAGTGATGGCCTAAAGCCATTAGTTTGTAGCTTGTAGTGACAACCTTTTGGTTACTATCTATCAATCAATCATTCGTCTTCTCCCATTCTTGTTCTTAATTTTTCCTGTTAATTATCCTCTCGTGCGCTGTCCGTTGCACAGTTGGTTTTTCAACATTTGGGAAAATTTTAGCAATTTTCCATCATCACCACCCAAAAAACAAGAAGCCATACTCATTTAGTTTAGACATGTAACAGCATACAGTCCTACATCAGCTATTCTACTTTCATACAGGCACAACACCTTGAATAAAGATGACAAAGAATGAGTAAATGTACATCAGATTATCAGAGCAGGAAATTCAGGAATAGAATGGTTCTGACTTCTTACCTCTCAATTCCTTCTCCGACTGCCAACCTAAAAAAGCTTTCAATCTTTACAGGGGACCCAACTTCCTTGCTCAGATTATCCAAAACAGTCTGCAGAAGAATGCAAAATGATAAACATTACAATCCTATTTATTCCATGCAAATGCAAAGAATTCATTTCTGGGCTACAGTTAGTAAGAAAGTCCAATCAGTAGGGCAAAGAAAGAAAACCTTAATCCAAGTACTTCTACAAGATTAACTAACCTTCACATTGACTGTATCATCAAGAACATACTTTTGCTCCAAAAGAACCACTTCCTCTAAGTATTTCCTTATTCGTCCTTCTACCATCTTCTCAATGGCCATCTTAGGCTTCCCAGATGCTTCTGCCTGTATTAACAGAAAGCAATCTCATAGATTAACAAACAATAGGTGGAATACTTAGCACAGATAATTCATATGTAAAAGATAGCTTAGAAAGAAGAAGTAACATAAACACAATGGATATGAAACACAAAAATAGCTTGGCAGAAGTAGCCAGTAATGGGTAAATAGTACAGGAAAAATACAGGCAAAGGGTTTAGAGGAAAGCACGCAATGGGATAATTGCAGTAAGGCAATACCTTTCTCTTCATGAGAACTTGAGAAGTACTATCTTAAAGCAAATCACTAAAAGAGGAACAATGGACTGATGTCTACAAGCTTTCTTTCCATTATACTTCCTCCATTTGTTAATAATTACAACAATTGAAGGTTCATGCTTGCCAATCCACAACTTTGAACACTAATATCTTTCATATTCTATTAATAACAAGTTGATATTTTGAAACTATAAATTGAGACTAACACAGCAAGATATTACATAAAAACATTTTTTCTTTATATCTTAGTAACAAAAATTGTGGTCAATTTTAGTATCTAAACAGTGCAAAACTCCAATTTTTGTGATTATTAAAAAAATAGAGGAAATACTTTATCAAGATAAGCATCAAACATGAATTGAATCTCCATTTTGTAATCTCTTCTTACCTATCCATAGTTGGATTGATTTGACAATGCCGACATAATCTAATTGCATTTGAAGTTTTGAACCAAGCGAATACGGAAATGACAGTAAAGTGAACCAAATTCATATTTTAAGGTCATAATATAAGTAGACAGGACAGCAAAGATGACCCAGGCTTTAATTACAGATTAAACAAAATAACGTATTAAATAACGACCATATGCATCAGCAAAGCAACCCAATACAATACCTGAGATCTGAGAATTTCACGTTCATTATCTAAGGCATCAGAGGAAACAAGTTCCTTTGAGAGAAATAAGGGTTTGGAAGCTACTACATGCATAGCTAACTCTGATCCAACACGCTGTAGGGCAGCCAAGTCAGCATCTGGGTTCTCCACTTGTAAAGATAAAATTCCAGCCATACGACCCAGGCCTGAATGAAGACGTCAGAATAGCTTAGTTATTATCTGATTATAATTCCAAAGTATTCTTCTAGCATAACAATCCTACTGAAAACAAGTACATAGCACTCATGATTATTTTCTAAGGCATATCACAACTAAAAAATAATCAATCTTTTGTATCAGTTGCAAGATTTCATCAGAAGTTTTTTGTCCAACTATTATACAGGTCTCTTTGAGCAATAAATCAGAGCTGAATCACATTACCTGATTGGGGACTTGAATGAAGGTATGTAGAAATGACACCAGGTGAAGTTTTTGACAATGCAGAGCCCCTCCTTAGTTTGACATTTTCCCCCATCATAGCTGCCAGTTCAACGACTGCCTCTTGCACGCTCTTCTCTCCACATAGTTTTGGATGGTTTAGATTCAACTTCAAGCTCTGGATCAATTACATGTTACAATGAATCCACATATATAGACAAAAATGAATAACTGGAGAGCAGATCAACAGAATGGAGCAAACTTCAGACCTCTAAGTACTCAAGTGTCACTGGAAAGGCTTCAGCTACTTGCTGAGAAGAACCCTCGGCTGACAATGCCAACTTTGCTAAAGATAAAGCCTATGAGATTGGAGAACAAATGAAACCAAGTTAAAAGATGAATATATCAAATGAAACAATACAAGAAATGAGGAAAACACGACATGAGCATGTATCCAAAGCGAGTTTTTTTCAAGAATAAGATGAAAATTTTGCTTCATCATTTCCAAAGTATCAATCCCCTTAGGCATCACTGTTCTATCACAACCTAAGATTTTCAATATTTTCTAATAGATTAGTATAACGAATGTAAGGTCCTAAACTAAGATGAGCATAATTAAGGTTTCCTAAATATTGATACACCAAGGAACAATGGGGAAACTGAAAGGATTCTACACTGACCATGTACTGAAATATATCATTCCTTGCAACAAAATCAGTCTCACAATTCAGCTCAATAATAGCAGTTTTTGTGTCATCCTGAGCAAGGGCAAGCAAACCTTCGGTAGCTGCTCGGGACGACTTCTTTGAAGCCAGGTAAACCCCTCGTTTCCTCAGCTCCTTCTGAGCAGCATCTGCAAGAAAGCAATCACATTATAAATTCAAACATCGAAAAACTTCTTAACAGCGCCTCGAAAAACAGCCTAATATCAAAAGTCGTTCCTTTTTCTTACCAATGTCCCAATTACAATCAACTAGAGCAGATTTAACATCTTTAATAGGAGCACTTGTTCTTTCTCTGAGCTGCTTAATAAGATCCATCTGATCAGATGATGATGCAGCAGAATATCTCCTCAAAAACAACCCAGAAAACCCCATTTTAAACTGAAAATCATCAACAATTGTGCCAGAACAATTTCTTTTGACAGCAATGGTGGAATACCCATGATGTGCAGAACGCATTCTGCTGCAAATAATCCCAATTGAGCGCTTTGCACCCCCAGAAAAAGCCATCTGAATCAAATTTTCAACTGGGATTTTAGTGTATAATTTCTCAAATTACACAGAAATTAGTAGGGTTTTTAGTATGACTGCCTAAATTAACACAAAAATGAGCAGGGTTTAAGGAAATGTAACAAGGGTTTTAGAGAAAAATTAAACAACGTTATAACAAAAAATATAATCTTAAACCCATTAAAAAAAATGATTGAATTGAAAACAAGAATGAAAAGGAAGAAACATGGAAAATGAGAAGTTAGATTATTTCTTATTCAGGAATAAGAAATCTTACCTTGCAGGGCAATAGCAGAAGAAAAAAAGAGGTTGGGAAGACGACACAAGAGCTGGGGATCGTCGGAGAAAGGGAGTTAGTGGTGGTTGTGACGGCGGCGGAGTGATTGAAGCAGCACACTTAGCGAAGGGCGACGGCTGTGCTGGTGGACTGGTGGAGAGAGAAGAGGAGAAGATTGTGGGTCGAAAGTGTTCAACACTTTGCAAGGCTTTGCGCTTGATGGGTTGCTGGTCCGAGCCTGTTGTTTGGATCTGTTGGGTATTCAAGATTAAGCGATTATTGGCCCGGATGATACACCGACTTGTTGCATATTTGTATGAGTAATGGCAATGGTCGGGAAATGCAGTGAAATGTGATCCAAATCCAAGGTGAAAGAAATGATGCAAAAATGGGCTTAACTATATTTTGTTAAGTGTACAATAATGATGTTTTAAGCGAGGATACTTGCTAAATAATTATGTTGAGTTCTCTAGTAATATGGTATGGTAGGTTGGCACATAGATTCGACTTTCATGTTGTGCTTTACTAAATGTAATGCAACAACGAGAATGTCATTCAATTTAGACAAAGACCTCATTACAATTTTATAAATAAGATTGTTTTATCATCATAAGACAACCTTATAGGTGGGTTAGGGTTAAGAGGTAAGAAAAATGGAATAAAGTGAAATACATGCAGTAAATGACTCACAAAAGTGGTCTTATGATGGTAAGACGTTCTTGCATAAATGTTTCTTGACATCTGATAGAAGTAGTTTAGACACATAACTTGTCTCAATAATGCGTCAATTGAAGGGGAGACACTATATATCTAACGACAATTATGTCGTCGACATCCAAAATTGAGTTGAGAGTTAATTTTTCATTCTTTTACCTTCATTCGTTTCCCATTATTAATCCATTCAATTCCAGAATATATATCCTGCTCTTCTATAGAAATGATGGAATTAATAGTCATTATATAATATTTTTATCATTACTTTTTGGAGTTTTTTATTTATTTATTTTTCTTTTATTTTGAGAAAACTTTTTGGAGTCTTTGGATAACTAGGAATGTAAAATTGTTTTAAAATGAAATCATTTATCAATATTCAATAGTTTTCCACCGCACTAGTATGGCTATGACCCAATGAAAATGGTGCATGAAAACGGAGTCAAATAGTATGCAAGATGGCCCGCTTTACCCACCATGGGCTTCTTGTTTATATATAACAAGCGCAAATTTTAAGTCGAACTCGCGCCCAGCCATAGCCCAGAAATGAACATTTACTATAACAAAAATGAACATTTAGTAATTGAACATATTTGAAAAGTGGCTAGTCCCCCCCCCCCCCCCAAATAATGAACATTTACTAGAAAAAATAAAATGAACATTTAATAATTGAACATATTTGAAAAGTAACATTGAAACTGCAATTGTATATCAGAAAATTGAGATGAATATTTCGTTAAATAACAATGAATACTTTTTTTAAAATGAAAAATGAATTTCAAATCAAAAGAAAGAAATATCTAAAACTTGAAATTAACATTGCAATATATAAAAATGAACATTTATAATATAAGAGTAAAATAAAGAGACTATGAAATTGAAAAAAAAAATTGTACATCTAATATTATATAACTGAACATTTCAGTTGTAAATAAAAATGAACACATAATGTTGTTGCTTATTCATCAGCATTTTTTTAAGCTTCAAGTGAAATCATACTACATGAAAATAAACATTTATATTATAAGAATGAACATCTTACTACATGAAAATGAACATTTAATTATTGAGAAATACAAAACATCTGTAATACAAATGAACATCTAATTTCATATTTTTGAAAATTGAAATAAATAATTATTTTTTTATTAACGCGATATACAAATAAATATACAGTTTTATGATTATGAACATTTTGCTAATATTAAGCTGAACATCATTAATATACTCTTCAAGAGTAAATTATTTCACAAGTGAATATAAAACAAATGAGAATGAACATATATTGATTTTATAATGAACAAAATTATAAAATATGTTCAATTAGAAAATGTTCATTTTTGTTATAGTAAATGGTTCATTTCTAATCGCGGGATCAACCAACTCTGGCTGGGCACGAGTCCAGCCAATATTAATTGTATAACTGGATTACTGCATAAGAGTTTTAGTGGATGGGTCTGGACATAAGAAGAACATGCTTTCAGAATAAGGGTGGCCTTCTTGAATAACAATAGGGGTGGAGTTTTTGATGGGTGAAGACTCTGATAAATTGAGAAACATTTGTGTAAGACTGACTTACTATTGTAAGACCACTTTTGTGAGTCACAATATATATGAACCGCCTATTCCATTTTCTCTCTTTCCTTGGCCCAACTCACTTACAAAGTGGTCTTATGATGGTGAAGTGGTGGTATTTAATTAAAAATATGTAATAATATCCATCCCATTTAGCAATTAGTTTGGAAGCACAAGCTTGTTTGCAAGCTCTGAAATGAGCGGCAGCACAGAATATACAAAACATTTAGATATGTTGAATACTTGTACGGTATCAAGAGCCCTATTCAAAAGCAACACAAAAAATAAAACCTTAATCAAGGTGTGACGTCGTGTTCACCCAAGTGCTCATACATTTATTTTAGAAGTGCTTATACATTTATTATTATTATTATTATTATTATTATTATTATTATTTTATTATTATTTTGAATAGGAAGGTATGATTTCATTAAATAAAAGTACTCGTATTTATATCAAGAGCCCTTTAATTTTTCTTTTTCTCTCTCTTTTTCCTTTGATCACCCAAATACTTGTACAAAAACATTAATTGAAAGAGCTTTAAAAAAAACTTGAAAGATACAACTATGCCACATTCAATTCACAAGATCAACTTATTATTATTAGACTTGTTCACACACACATTTAAGATCCCTTACAAGATCAGATGAGGGAAAGTATAGCAAATACAAGGCGAAAGAGGCAGTAGTAGTCCATTAATACTTATGTTCCATAATACTTTGTCATGTATGAAAGACCGGTGCAAGGCATAAGGCGGAAGCTCGTGTAGATAATAGAGTAGTTCACAAAGTGATCATAGTATATAGTAGTTCACAAAGTGATCACAGATATATATACTATGATCGATCTCCTCAGTACACGCTCACGATGGTCGTCTTTGTGAACAATGAACCAGCGTACATCAGTTTTACATGGTTGGTCTTATATTGAGCCTGCTTGCTACTTTCATGCCCAAAGATTTATCCGCCTGTAATAATAGTTGCATTACAAAAACGTACAACAAAGAAAGTTAGTATAATTATTTATAAAATAAAACACAATGTTAACTCCGTAGTAATTAGTAAGTACTTGTAAATTTGTAATAACTTAAGTACTTAGTTACCTGAGACAGGTATGAAACCCAAATGCTGCGTATCTCATACGTGAGGCGTGGATCAGACAGAGCTTGAACAAATCTCGCAATGAATCTCTCTTGCCTACATACAAAGGTAGCGATGAAAGGGTTATGTACCATTTTTCGGTATATTGATTAAATGATTAGTCTTTTGACCAGGAACAACTGGCACATGTAGATGTCGCATGATTGTTCATTAAATAATGATAATCCTGTTATTATTATTATTTCTAGATACGAGTATGGGTCCATTACAATTTCAGTTCACTGCACGGATTTTAAGTGGAGACGAGGCCCACATCTTAATTATATGTTAATACTGTTCTGCAAAGAAAGGGACCAGATCGACTCACCTGGCTGGATCCCATGATCTATATCTCACTCCTGGCTCCTTGAAGTTGTTCTCCTTTGGTATGATTTGCTGCATTTAATAAGAAACAAAGGTTGAAATTTACGTCAAAAAGTTGTTATGTCCCTCTCAAATACTGAACTCAATTTTGGAGTAACAAATAATGCAATAATTAAATTGTCAAAAGAAAGCAAGTGGATAAACAGTACAAGTTCAACAAATTACCTTTTCACGCCTTCCATGTATGATTGCCGTTGGAATAGGGTGTCTCTCGGCTTCTCTTAGAGGATCAAATCTTGATGGGAAATAATCAATCTAAAACATAATTAAACAACATTTAATAATCGATAGTGTCACAACTTAGAAATCTTAAGCTGATGGTTAAAGTCCGATAGAATATAAAAACCAATCCTGGGCTTTAACCAAATCTATCAGTTCACTTATCGTCTATTAAACGTATATAGGTATGATGTATCTAGGGCTTATTTTTTCGATTCAGTTAGATAAGTAAAAATCAGATGAAAAGAACGAGCAATATACCTCTTCATCCCTGTGCACCATGGTCATAGCACCATCGCGGTGCATGTTGGTATGAGGGCACTTAGGAGCATTAACAGGAAGCTGCAAGTAGTTGACACCCAAACGATATCTATGGGTATCGGCATAGGCAAAAGTTCGAGCCTGAAGCATCTTATCATTAGAGAAGTAAATCCCAGGAACAATATGTGCAGGATCAAAAGCCAGCTGCTCATTTTCTGTAAAGAAGTTGTCAACATTTTTGTTCAACACAAGACGTCCTACAGGCTGTAAGGGCAGGATATCCTCAGGCCAAGTTTTAGTAGTATCGAGTGGATCGAAATCAAACTTATCCTCATCAGCAGGGTCCATGGTTTGGATGTAGAGCTTCCACTCAGGGAAGTTCCCATTAGCAATAGACTCGTACAAGTCCTGAGTCGCGTGGCTGTGGTTCGAGCCACCAACCCTGATGGCCTCCTCCTCGAGCAAGTTCTTTTCGCCGCAAGTTGGGCGCCAATGGAACTTGACATATGTTACTTTCCCTGCTTTGTTGATGAGAGTGAAGGTGTGGACTCCGGAGCCATTCATGTGTCTGTAGTTGATCGGGATGCCCACATCGTCGAAGAAGAAGGTGAAGGTGTTGAGAGACTCAGGGAGGTATGAGCAGAAGTCCATGTACCTCCAACTCTCTTGGATGTGGGATTTGGGGTTGGGCTTAAATGCTCGGATCAGGTCGAAGAATTGCATTGCATCACGGGTGAAAAACACCGGGAAGTTGTTTCCCACAATATCAAAGTTACCCTGCAACATTATGTATGATCAAATTAAACACACTTTTTATCATTCAATCGTATAATCATTAATCAATTCAGACCTACTTAAGCACAATATAGCTAGCTTATTGAAACTTATCAGCTGTCTAATATATATATTGAACAGATCAGATAAGATAAGATCAAGCAAAGAAGCAATACTAGTACATGTATGCAGTTTGATCGATCTAGTACGTAAATCGATCAATAATAAATTTTTAGCGAACATGTGAGTGGGTAACATTGTCGTATGGTGTTGCAAAAATAGCTAGGAAGGTACATACTTCGCTGATTTTTTTTTATCTAGTTAAATCACACAACTACAACAATCGAATTCTTAATCCCAAAGATGGGTAGTTAAGTCACGGAAGCAAAATTTAAAAGGCTAAAAATTTCCCAAACAAGAACTCGACTGATATAGTAAAGCATACCAAGTAGTCAATTTAAGGCCTCATTAGAGTCATTACATAGGTTGGTTTAGTTAATTATATCATGTCGTCGAATCATGTACATGCCCTAAATTAGGGGTAACAACTGCTAATATATATGAAATGTGCCATAAAATTAGTAAGTTACCTCTCTAGTATAGAACTTGACGGCGAAACCACGAGGATCTCTGAGTGTTTCAGGACTACCACGTTCATGAATGACCGTGGAAAATCGAACAATAACAGGGGTCTGGACGCCGGGGGCACGGAGGAAATCAGCACAAGTGAGGTGAGTGATATCATGGGTAACTTCAAAAAAACCCTTAGCACTTGCTCCCCTAGCATGTACAACACGTTCAGGTATCCGTTCATGTGTCCAAGTTGCTATCTTTTCAATCAGATGATAATCCTCCAACAGAATTGGACCTGTTTATCAATGCATGATCAATAACACCATGTATGCATCAACGAATTAACAAACATACATCATGCACCCATCCATCGATCTCTAATAAAAACTATACTTCCTCCGTTTTTTAAGCTGTTTCTTTTGACTTTCACACTTTTCTGACTGTGTAAATTTGTCCTTACAATATCACTATGATCTTTAGCATATCATGTATTTTTTTAAAAATAAAGACTAATCTAGTGATATCCAGTATAATTATATTTTTCTTTTAAGTATACAAATAACATGGTCAAAGTGAAAGAGATGAATAGTATATAAAATTAAAATCGACTTTTAAATGAAATGTTAAGCATAGTCTCATGTGTAGTACAAAATTTACCCTCAATCAGTATGTAACATAAGCACATAAAATTCCTTTAAGGACATTAAAAATTTAATACAAGTAATCATAACAACAATCAACGCATAATTTTATATAAGTTACGTCTTTAATACCATATATATAAGGAAAAAAAAAAAGTATTGAAATAACTTATTAATTAATAACAAATCCTCTTTGTTTAACTTAATCAAAAAGAAAAGGCAAAAGTTACCTCTAGGGCCAACAGTTAACGCTGAGGTATCGTTCCAAACGGGTGTACCATTATTTGTAGTCAAGTATGGGGCGTTGTAAGCACTTGCTGGCCGGTGCTGCACAATAAACCCATATCAAAACAATTCCAACTTTTCGAAATTCGATTTCTTTTTATAATACTTTCATGCACATAACTCTATATATGTTTTTTTCATTATACTTGCATTTAAAAAAAAAAAAGGTCGGGTGTTTTTTGTTATTAGTCTTATTACAAACTTTAAAATAATTATAAAAAAAATTGATGAATTAACAAGTATGTTACAAAGAGATCGATGGAGCAAACCTTAGATGGATCCATGGCAAGATGAAGGAGAAAGAAAAGATTGGAATAATAGTAGTAGTGTAATGAAGTTGTAGTAGGAAAATAAGTGTGTGATTTAAAGTGATATGACAAGCCACCACATTTATAGTCACAGTCACCGCACTAACCAAGCAAATTGCATCAAAATTACACCTAAATGCATAATAATAATTGAAACCCATCCAAGGTTTTACTCACTCTGTAAGAGCCTTATCTTACATTCTAAAATCATTTAGAGGGTGTTTGTTTAGGGGGATAAAAGGGATGAGAAAAGGATTAAAAAATAGGAATATAAGAAATGTAGTGTTTATTTAAAGGGATGCGGAATATAAGTGGATTAGGGATAAAAACACCCACTTATCCCTCCATTCCTATAACTAAGGAAGGTGGTATAAGGGAAAGAGATAAGAAATAGATTTTAAACGACCAAATTACCCTTAATGAAATTGAAAGAGTAAGGAGTTTGGCTTGAAGTTAGTAAGGGTATTTTTATAAATTTATTATTTACTCCTAATTTGTTTCCCATACTTGCCAAACATGAGATACACCTATCAATCCCCTATATTTATCATCCTGCTTATCCCTCTTATTTCTATCCCTCCAACCAAACGCCTCTAAGTCCTTAAGGATACTTGAAGTAAGGGATCTCCTTACTTTTTACCCTTTTAAGTGTCCAGCTTGCATATAGGGAACTACTTTTTCTATCCCTTTATTTTTGTCCTATTTGACTTTGCGTAGTCACTAAAACACGTGTTAAAACGTTTATTTTTCCATTTTTATATGCGTGAAAATTATAAAAAAATTATGTTAATTAAATTTACAATGAGATGAACCAAATAAGATCTCACATGATTATATTTCCTTTTGTAGAACAACGAGAAGTTATGGTCAAAGTTTTTAAACTTTGACCTATATTAGGGACGAAGGGAGTATAAAAAATAATGAGGATTGAGGTTTGATGTGGGTCCAACCTTTTAACCTTATAAAAATTCAAAAAATTGGATGATAATTGAATTATTTTGAATGATAATTGAATTATTGGATAAGCTTAAGATGACAAATATCTACGGACAAAGGAGTCTTGGAAATGTGGTATTCCATCGTTATCAATTATCATGACGATAGAACGGCGTTTTGGCAGTGTCTGTATAGTTGTGGAGTTGATTGTGGGACATGTTTAACAGAGTATAGCCAGTAGCCTTGGCCCATGTTGTGGAATTGTAACTTTGGCCCAGTGCATGTTTCCCTTTCTATCTTCCTTTCTAATTTTTCCACTTATTAAGTCGGATGAGTTTTAGGCCATTAGCCCTTGAATTCTCTGTCTACTTCAAATGAAGTACGGAGGACGTTTTTTTTTCAAGATAAAAGGAGAAGTCTAACCAAATCTAATCATTTATGATTGTTTTAGTATAATATTTACGGATTAGATATTTTGAGAGAGAGGGAGGAAAGAGATTAGTAAAAGTAAGAGATCTCCACCCTCAAAGTAACTCTAATGACATTAAACTCTCAATTTTAAGGTTGGAAGGTATAATCTTTCTCATTAGACCAATCTTAGTAGACTGGAATTCTCTATCTAGTTAGGTGAAAATTAATCAGTCTACTTAATACAATAATAATCCGTACTCCACTTATCAAAAATATATAAATATTACTAAAATAACAACCTCTGATATCATTCCTCCTTCAAATTGTACACATGTCAAACTGTGATAAAAAAATTTCCCGCCTAAATCAATTGCTGACATCATATTCTTATATTTTTTTTAACCTTAGATTATTATACTATATTTATATTTATTATAAATTATCTATTCCTCTAATAATAAATTGGAGGTTTTATTTTTTAAATTTTTTTTGTCATTAATTTGCCTAGAAAATTCAGTATTTTTATTTATTAATATAATTTTTTTTGAATGCTATTATTATAATTGGCTATTGTGTTGTAATTTGTATTTCTCTAGAAACTTCTATATTTCAAATATCAATAATTTTAAAAACCAAACATGGCTCGGATTTTATCTAGTAAATAAATAAATAATCCTCCGTACTTCATTACTTTATACTTCCTTCATTTCATTTAGTTCATAATATTAATCAAAACCTTAACCAACTACGAAGTATAAGAATTTATATCCACACAATGATACAAATAGTTAATTATAGATATTAATAGGTAAATTTTGAAATTAACAATAACGGAATGGTAAAGGGTAAAATACTTTATTAAACAATACCTATTTATTTATTTATTTTTTATTATTTTTTTGTAAGTTAAGATGTAGGACCCTACTAAACCAGCACCTCTCATAGGTTAAGCCAGCTTAGCTCCCGCAGGTTAACACTTGAGGGTAGAGGGGGGAGGTAAGGGAATTCCACTACTCCCAAGCAAATGTAGTTGGTGAGACTCGAACTCGTGACCTCAAAGTCAAGGGAAAGTTCTCCAAGCTTTGCTTGGTATACCTATTTCCTTTTTGGATGCTCTTATATAATTGATTGGTACACAATATAGTGTATATACATACTCAATTTTGACAATATATAGTTGGTGATTTTTGATTACAAACAAAGCATATAGTTGGTGATTTTTTATTACAAACAAAGCATACATAATCTTTGGAAATTTTTAATACATTAGTTGTCACAATAAATAAAATTCAAAATATTGGTTGACAATTCTACTTTATCATCAAGATTATACTCCGTATAAAATTGGAAACCTTAAATATATCATTTGTGTCTCCTTCGAAATTTAGTTTGATTTTTCTTTAGTCCAATATTTGGGTTTGTTGCCATCAAATATGCAGGTGATAATTAATCTATTTTTATTTGTAATTAATATGTACGAAGTATTATTATGATAATGTAGCATTCTTTTTTTTTTTTTTAATCGAATAGTTTTTCTATCCATATATTGAATTTTATATTTTTTTTGTTATCCTCATGATCAATCCAATTCACCGAATATTCATTTACAATCAAACTAATTGAATCAAAACAAAAATTATATAAATAGCAAGAAGACGTACGTGATAGTGTAAATGGACTGGGCCTTGTGCCTGGTGGGTCAAATGACTCACCAGGGCCCAAAAAAAATTTTATCTAACTTCAGGTCCCGACACTTCCTCAAGCCCTAGCCCACTGCCTCCTCAGCTGCTCTTCCCTCTTCGCCTCTTGACTTCCTCTTCGCTTCATCTTCACCAGACTGCCTCCACCCAGCCACCCTCCAGTCGCCTGCTTTGCCTCTGCTGCTTGCCTGCTTGATGCTTTCCTGCTCCGTCTCCGTGGTCACTGCTCTTCGCCTCTTCGCAATCGCTTCGACGCAATTGCTAATTCACTAGTAAGTTGATTTCTAATTTTTATTTTTAATTTCTTATCTTCAATTTAATTCACTCTAATTAGTTAATTTTATTAAACTTTGGTTTAAACTTTGGTTGATTTGTAGTTAACGCTTCCTCTTCGCTCACGGCTCACGCCTCGTCGCCTCCAGTGCTGGCCCTGCTGCTGGCCCTGCTGCTCCGCCTACTCGCCTCAATCAGCGTCTGCCGTCTGGCAAGGTAATCATCAATTTATTCTTTTTTTTTTTTGTGAATTTCTGATCAAATTTGCATTACTTGTTGCTTAAAATTAGTATATACGATGAATGTTCATTGAATTTGCATTATTTGTGTTTTGACTGTTAAATTGAACTTATTAGTTTATGTGATGCCGGACATTGTATAAGACAGCTATTAGTGTAAGGAGGATTATAAATTTATAATTAGATTACAGTGTGGACTGGTTAGTGGTGCTAGTCGCATATTCGGTTGGAAGTTCCGTATAGACTAGGCGGATTCAGGAATTGTAAAACATTGTGTCTCAATTGTGGTTACATAAACCTTAAATCATTCTTAAGTTTTTTCTTGTGATTGTTGCTGTAAATTGTTTAAACTGTTATTACACGGAGAACAGTAGTTAGGGTGTTTATTAGCTTGTTAGTTATTAGTTTGTTAATTTTAGTCTTGTAATTTCAGAATGAAGAGAAAACGCATTCCAAATGAAATGCAAAACATTACAAACTATATCTCAACCTCAAGAAAGTGAACAACATTCATCTCCATCTCATTATTCAACTTAAAATTCCCCTCAAAATGAACAAGGCCAATGTTCTCCTAATGCCCCAATCTTTGATGAAAGATTAAGTGAACATGAATTTGCTAATCTTCCACAAGATCCAGGAAAGAGGAGAAAGATGAGTGAATTTCATAAAGATGATAGAGATTTAGTGAGAAGAATTTACATTCAAAGAAAGCCTTGTCAGCCCAAAGACTTTGTATTTCCTCAAACTTCTATTTTTGGCAAAAACCGTCGCTTTTGTGCTAAGTGGTTTGGTACTTGGACTTGGCTTGAGTATAGTGTGGAAAAGGATGCTGCCTATTGGTTGTATTTTGTATTGTTTGAATATTTGGATGTATTTTTTAGTACTATTATTTGGTTGTTTGGTAAAATTTTTTTTTTACATATTTGATTATCGATTGTGACTCACCAGTCGGAAATTCCTGGGTCCGCCACTGGATAGTGTCATCTTTGTCTACAATGAGCGATCCTAAGATCTCTAACTAAGAAACTAATGAATTAAAGTTCAAAATCTGTATTTTACATACCTTATATAATTTGTGTAATAAATTTGTATGTATTTTATGTCAAATGCATAATTTTCAGCATAGTTGATAAATGATCAGTAGTTAATAAGGGACTAAGGTCAACAAGTGTACCTCATTTGAAAATTGAAAGGGTAGTAAGAAGCTTGTGGTGGCCACAAACAACTTTGGATCTTCCTAACTTTTTCCCCACTTGATATTTCAAAGATGTCAATTTGTCGATGGGTGTGATGAAAATAACGGTAGATTTTTTTTCACGCTACCACACACTTGAAGATTAATCTTCCTTGATAGGGAATTTGTAAAGATTATCTCAATAGTTTGTTTTTTATTTATTTTTTTTTAAAAAAAATTTTAATTTTTTTTTATTTATTTTTTAATTTTTTTTATTTTTTGACAAGCATCTCAATAGATTTAATTTAAATTACTAGATTAGACCTGTGCGATTCAGGATTGCAAAAATTATTGAAATGAAATAGCTTATTTCTATTATTATTTTCCCGTATATATGTGTAAATTAGATCATAAAAACATATCTATTATCATAAATTACAGGAGCTGTAACAAAATATAAAAAAGAATGTCAATCTGATCTAATCAAACCATATGCATACGAATTTATATTCTCCATCTAAGAGTTCGAAATACAAAATAAAAATACTTGTAATTTAAAGATCCTTGTTGAAGGACCAACTCCACCAAAAGCTTAAGCTAATGGTTGAGGCCTAAGATTATGTTTTTATACTCTATCAATCTTAATTTAAATAAATAGAAGCACCTTGGAAATACAAAACAAAGATAACACTTACCAACAACATTAGTTCATTTTTGTATAACAAATATCCATATTATTAGTACATGACTTCATAGCTAGGTTGCTTGCAGAATCCTTAGTAAAAAAAAAAAAAAAAACAAAAAAAACACAAATAACATTAAAAGCTTTTTTTTTAAAAAAAATAAATAAATAAACTTCGTAGTTACCAATTACCTAAAAAGTTTAAGTTCAATACCAATTTTTTATCAACTAAAAAAAAATATATTTATTTATTTATTGACACAGTCAAAAGATTCAAATGAAAAAAAAATAAAAATATAACCAATTCCTATAAAAAACCAAAAAATATATGACATCATAAGTGCATTTGGCGGGAACATTTTTTATGAGAGAGCGACACATATACAATTTGGGGAGAGGATGATGTAGCAAATTTTCTGTTTTAGTAATAGTTAATAGATATCTTTCATATTATGTGTTTATTTGGTTTTAAAAAAAATAATAATGTGTTTATTTCTAAATAAGATTTTAGAATACAAAAGCACACTATATATATTGATTAATGATAAAATGTCAAATATCACAGATATATAAGGAGATTTAAACAATCCTACATGGTATCACATTTTATACAAAAAAAATTGGTTCCCCCTAGAGTCGTTCTATTGGGTGGTTTCGCCCTAGCCACTGCTAGGTTTTGTTCCTTTGATTATCAAAGGTTCTTTTAATTTGGTTTTTTTCCTTATTAATTGTGTGTGATTTGTTTTTCTTGACTGTGAATTCTCATGATGAGCGCTATTTTTCCCAATCGTGAGAATACTGAAGAGGTGTGTAGAGACGAAGTTGAATGGCAGTTAGATGATGAGGATGATGACGAATCTAGGGTTGCGTAGGGAGTGGTTGGGAAAGTTTGGACGAAGAGAAGTGTCAATAGCAATGCCCTAATATCAACCATGAAACGAATTTGGAATCCTAAGCATGGAATGGAGGCAAACAACATCGGCAAGAATACCTTTTTCTTCCAATTCCACCATTGGAAGGATAAAGAATTTGTAATGGAAGCCCGCCCATGGCACTTTGATCGTCATACCTTAGCCCTGTGTGATGTACAGGGGGACGAAAGACCCTCTAATATTCCCCTTCACCAAACACCCTTTTGGGTTAGGGTTTATGACCTCCCCTTTGTAGAGCGAAGCAATGAGGCTAATTCTCGTACAATTGGCGATAAGGTGGGTGATTATATGTCTATGGATAAGTCTAATATTGTAGGAATCAACAAGTCCCTACGAATTTGAGCTATGATTGACCTTCGCAAGCCCCTGGTCAAAGAAGTTAGACTGAAGATGAGGGGTGGAGAGAAAAAAACTTTTGAGCTGAAATATGAAAAGCTTCCCTTGTTTTGTTATGTTTGTGGGAAGCATGGGCATGGTGAAAAGGACTATGATGATGCCAGACATGGAGAAAACCCAATAAGAATTTTCAATGAAAATCTCTGAGCCTCTCCTTGGCAATCAAATAAAGGTGAAACAAATGAAGGAGGGGATAACAGCAGCAGTTGTGCAAGGAGACTTTTCTTCAAGAAAGGGCACAAGTCTGACAGTAAAGAAGTAGAAGAGAATGTATCACTGATGCAGAAACAGTTACAGGAAGTTGCTATAGTACCAAGCGGAGGGGTAAGCAATGCAATGGAGGATCCTATTGTAAAGGATAATGAGGTGTCACTAAATGAGGTGGATAAAGAGTTAGATGCTGGAACTCTCGTTGAAAAGGTGACTACCCCAGCACTTATTGCAGAGGACTCTACTGGTGGGGACCTACCTATACGTACGCTAAGGAAGGTCAACATTATTAAGAGAAGCACCCCTCTTGAGTGTACTACTGAAAATACTCGTGGAAAGAGGAAAAATGCCATGGAAATGGACAGATTGATTGAAGAGTATATTGGTGGAAATGAGGAACATGTGAAGGTTGTTAAAAGGAAGGAGACTGATTTTCACATAATGTTAGTAGTGGTGGTTGCTTTGCAACCCCGCGAACAACAATGATAGGCCTTTCGTGCAACTACCAGGGATTGGGGAGTCCCCGCTCAGAAAATGCGCTTAAGGGCGTAGTATCTCTTGAACATCCCCACTTTGTCTTCCTCTCGGAGACAAAGTTAAAAGGTAAGGAGTGGGAGAGTATTAAAAGAAAGCTGAATTTTGATCACTTTTTGTGTGTTGACTTTAGTGGAGAAGGAAGGCATTTAAGCGGTGGTCTTGCGATGTTTTGGAAGGGTGAACTAAACCTTACACTAATCTCAACGCACTTGAATCACATGGACTTTACCCTAGCAACTGATGATGGATTGGTGTGGCGCTTAACAGGTATTTATGGCTTCCCTAAAGAAGGTAGGAAGAATAAAACTTGGAAGCTCATTGAAAGGTTGGGAGAGGATAGTACTTTGCCTTGGTTATGTTTCGGTGATTTTAATTACACACTTACGCATGGTGAGAAAAAAGGGGGCAACCCAAAAAATCAGAATGAGATCGATAGCTTTCGTGATTCTATGAACAAGCGTAACCTTAGAGACTTGCACTTCAAGGGTCTGTCCTTCACCTGGAGTAATAATGGGGCTCATAGTGAGAACATACAGGAGAGACTAGACCGCTTTGTGGCTACGGATGAATGACTCGATTTATATCCTTGTTCGAATGTCGAGCTCTTGCCAAACGACGTTCTGACCATGTCCCTTTAGAAATCACCATCCAGAAACAATTGCTGATTAATCGAGGCAAAAGAAACAGAAAGAAGAGTTTTAATAAATTCAAGAAAGAATGGCTTCGTGATGATGAGTGCGGGAACATTATTTCTGATGCTTGGAATTTGGACCCCTCTTGCAATGTAAAACAGAAAATTGCGGCTTGTTCTTTAAGTTTGCGCTCCTGGAGTTCAAAAAAGTCAATTGATTTCAAGGATGAGATTGGTTCTCGAAGAGAATTAATGGGAAATCTTATGAAGCTTCCTCTAATCGAGGATAATATAGCTGAGATGAGAAGGATCGATCTGGAAATTGATGAACTTGAAGGTAGGGAGGAAGCGTTTTGGGCACAACGAAGTCGCCAAGATTGGCTCCGTGAGGGTGACAGAAATACAACTTTCTTCCTTAAGAAAGCGAAGCAGAGGGTAGAAACACTATAAAAGGTGTTTATGATGATGGGGGAAATTGGAGACGAGACGAGAAAGAAATTGAAGCAGTCTTTGAGAGCTATTTTTAGTCACTGTTTACTTCAGATGGGGGTAATGATATGCAACCAGTTCTGGATGCAGTTGAGACCCGAGTCACTGATGAAATGAATGCTTTGCTGACTGAAGCTTTCACAAGGGAGGAGGTGATTTGTGCCCTCAAACACATGCACCCCACAAAGGCACTCGACCCTGATGGTATGCCCACTCTCTTTTATAAAAAATTTTGGGACGTTGTTGGTGATGATGTTGTGTCGTATGTGCTTGATATTCTGAATAATAATGCCCCGATTGACCCGATTAATCACACCCATATTGTTCTTATTCCCAAAAATAATGAATGTGACTCCACCAAGGACTATCAACCAATTAGCTTGTGCAATGTTCTCTACAAGCTTGTGTCTAAGGTACTTTCAAACAAACTAAAACTCATTTTGCCGAGTGTTATTAGTGAAAATCAAAGTGCCTTTGTGCCCGGAAGACTAATTATGGATAATGTGCTTGTGGAATATGAGATATTCCATTATCTCTGTAAAAAGAAATCTGGGATAAGAGGATACATGGCTATGAAATTAGACATGAGTAAGGCATATGATCGCATGGAGTGGGGTTTTATTGAGGGAATGATGCTAAATCTGGGTTTCAACCATAACTTTGTGTCACTTATTATGAGGTGCCTCTCTTCGGTCTCTTATTCCATCCTTGTTAATGGTTTCTTGACATCGAGCTTTGTACCTAGTAGAGGTCTCCGTCAAGGAGACCTCATATCTCCTTTCTTGTTCCTTATATGTGCCGAGGGGTTTTCTGCGCTCCTTCGTAATGCTGAGCAAAGTCGCATGGTTCATGGGGTGAAACTTGTCAGGAATGTTGACCCGATATCACTTGTTTGTTGCGGACGATAGCCTTCTTTTCACTAGAGCAAATGCTAGTGAAGTGGAAGCGGTCATTGACATTCTCAATATCTATGAAGTTGCGTCGGGGCAAAAGATAAATATGGAAAAATCGGAGGTTTCTTTCAGTTGTAATGTTAGTGCCGATATGCAGGAAATGCTTCAATTGAAGTTGAACTTTACGAAAGTTGAAGGACACGAGAAATATCTTGGTCTCCCTACTTATATAGGCCGATCCAAGAAAGTTGTTTTCCAGGTTATCCAAGATCGAGTGTGGAAGCAGGTTAAGGGGTGGAAGGAACGGTACCTTTCGAGGGCGGGAAGGGAAGTTCTACTAAAATCTGTGGCCCAAGCAATACCCACCTATGCCATGCAATGCTTCAAGATCCCAGATTCTGTCATCAACAATATTAATTCAGTATGTAGAAATTTCTAGTGGGGACAAAAAGATGGGGAAAGAAAACTTGTGCTGATAAGATGGGATAAGATGTGCAAATCGAAGAAAAAGGGAGGTTTGGATTTAAGAGACATGAGAGCCTTTAATTCATCATTGCTTGCAAAGCAATGTTGGAGGATTGTTAAGAACCCTTTTTCCCTGGCTGCTAGGGTCCTAAAAGGTAAATACTTCCCTCGCACTTCATTCTGGGAAGCAAATGTCCCACCTTCGGCAAGTTATACTTGGCGCACTATTATGAGTGCAAGAGAACTTTTGAAAGAAGGGTCGAATCGGGTAGTGGGAAATGGCAAAAGTATTAAGATTTGGGGAAATTATTGGGTGCCGAGTCTGCCTGGGTCGAAGCTTTTTTCTCCTCCAAGCTCTAAGAATGACAGTAGACTGCTAGTCTTGGAATGGATCGATGTTAATGAAGAAGGGCATAAATTTTGGAATATGGGGCAGGTTTTATCATATGTTAAGAGCCAAGCAATTGGGAAAATTCGATTGCCGCAAAATGACCAAAATGATTTCCTGTAGTGGAAGGGCACTAAAAATGGCGAGTTCACTGTCCGTTCAGCATACCACTTCGAGTTGCAAAGAAGCAAGAGTAATGCAGGACCTTCAAATATTGTCCCTGATGTTAAGCTGTGGAGAAAGATCTGGGAGGCGAGTGTCCCCCCTAAGGTGAAATCGGTGACGTGGCGAGCTGTACGAGGTGGTCTTCCGGTGCGTGCAGTTCTTAGCACAAGAGGAATGAAAATTGGCCTTGGATGTGGGGAAGAATGCGAGACAATTATGCATATGTTGGCTTTCTGCCCAGAGAGTCAAATTATTGGAAGCTCTCACCTCTAAGAATTGACACAAGTATCGGGGTTAATTTTTCTGCCAAGGAGTGGAGCACTGAGATGATGCAAAAGCTCACTATGAATAAAGGATGGGAAATTTTCATGATGTTTTGGAGGAAGATATGGGACTTGAGAAATCTGTGGACTTTTGAACATAAAAAAGTGGAAGCCCCTATTGCGTGTGAAAGAATGCTCAGCTTTCTTGGTGAGTTTGAAGCTGCGACCTTGCGTGAAACTACAGCACCAAGCACAGCAAATAGTGGCAGTGAGCACACATGGATTCCCCCTCCTCATGGTGTGTACATGCTGAATACTGACGCAGCTCTCTCAAAGAAGGGCAGAATTGGTCTTGGCATGGTGGTCCGTTTGACAATCTTGGTGATGTGATGATGGCTGGTGGTAGGCCGATCACTGGGGATTACAGCGCCTGTAACGTTGAAGCCGAAGCCGAAGCCCTCCTGTTTGGTCTAAAGTACGCATATGAAGCAGGCCTAAGACATCTTGTGATCTCTTCAGAATGCTTGCACCTGATAAATCTCCTGTAGTTGAAGGCTAAGGAGAAAACCCCCACCCAATTGATTGTTGATGACATCTTATGTTTTGCTAGTTTGTGTGTTTCTAGTAGTTTTATTTTTTAGCCAAGATCTTTAATAAGGTGGCTCACTCCATCGCTAAACTCTCCCTATCTTTGTCTGGGGAACATATTTGGATGGAGGAATGAATGTCCACCCCCTTCGCTTCCCTTTGTCATTTGTGACAAAGTGGCTTTTGATATATAATTGAATCTTGCGGGTCGTGTCAAAAAAAAAAAAAATACATGGTATCACAACCTCTAATAATAAGTCTCCACAAATTTTTTCCACCGTTGATCTCGATGCCTACTCCTTATGCTACACCACCCTCCTCATCTCGGCTCCACGCCATCCTCTTCCACCACATACTACTACTATCTATGGCCGATCCAGTCAACAATTAACGAGAAAACTCTTCACCTCATAGGCTCATAATAACATTCACTGAAGTGAACGAAATTTTTTTATACATTTTTTTGTGAAAAATTAATTTATAAACTGCACATTGTATGAATCTACCAAGATTCTAGCTCATTTGGGTAGCCTAACCAAGCTTTATTAGTTTCTAATTTTTTTTTAAAAAATAAATAAATAAATAAACAAGATTCTACATGATAAAAATGTATTCTTAAAAAGAAATTAGAAAGAAAAGTCAAATTTTTTCTAAATTTAATCAAACCAACAATAATTAGGAAATTCAAGTCTTTAAAAAAAAAAGAAAGAAAATTTAAGAAATAGAGGGTTTGCTAAAGATTGTGATTTGACTTTGTTAAATGGGCTTAGGCTGCAACCTGCTTCAAGAGTACTTTATAAGTTCAATGAAAAGTAAACATGATTTTGTTGTTCAATTTCTTCAATATGGGATACACATCCCTAACACTCAGCCTCACTTTCACATTCATTTATTATAGTCTTATACGAAGTATAATAACGATTTCACTCACATGCAGATTTGTTCATGGGCTCAATAGACTCCTAGTTATAGAGTTTGTTCACAAATGTGTTGAAATGTTGAAGGGATCATCAATGAGCTCCAGCCAATTTCACACACCAACCCACCACATCTAGCTCCCACTACCACCACCTCAACCACACCCCAGGCCACCCGCGTGTTAACACCACCACTACCCCACCTCATGTAGAAGATATGCCACTATAATCCACACCCATCTTCTATATATACGAAGTAAAAGTTTTACGTAGTATAACATACTAGTGAGTGTTTGGTTGCACATACATTTTCCTAAAAAAAAAATAATAATAATTTTCCTTGATGTCGTATTGTTGTATTTCCGAGGAAGTTCACAACCAACTTAATTTGATTATCAATGGAGTAAAACTTTCTATGGGAAGTTTAATTTCATTGATTTAATTAGGCCAACTCTAGATATAAGCACCTTTATATATGTTCATTTAATTTGGTTTGAAAAATACTTCCAAGGAAATTATATTGCCAACTAGGTAATTTCATTTTGTTCCACTTCATAGAACTTTCATGTTTAGATATATTTACGGACTGATATCAACTAAACATGCACATATCTAACTGGTATGATAATAGATACAAAATATCGATGATTTTTTTTTTTTTTTTGTTTAAGACTACAAAATACCGATTGTTATAAATAAATTAGCAGAAAAATATGTTCACTCTATATAACATAATTCACCAACAAATAAATACGTAGTACATAATAGGTTACATGTCACGAAACTTTAGTAATGAATAACATATAAAACATTTTTTCTTTAGAAAGTTGAACGTAAAATACTTGGGACATTAATTATTACATTAGTTGGGCTCTTTTTTCCTCCTCCCCTCCTTTGGAATAAAATTATATTTGTACTTAACATGCAAGTAATAAAGTAAATGAAAGCTTGAAAGATGCCATGCAATACAAAGAAAGGATAAATTAAAAGATGGGAGAAGAAAAAGAGGTAACTTAATTTATTAAGTTGTGCCAAATAACTTCTTCATCCTTGTAACCTCTTGATGACTTAGAAGAGAGATTTGCTCAGCGATCTCACCAGGTAAATTTCCCTCAAAAAGAGAAGACGAAGTGATCTGTAATCCTGGATTTGCACCATTCAAACTTACAAACGCAAGAGCCGGGGTTTTACCAACGTTAACTTGAAAATGTAGCATGGCTTGTGGAAACATCATAACGTCACTAACCTCTAACTTCTTATAGTATGCAGTGTTGTTCGTATCAATAAACCCTGCAATAATAGTCCCTTTTGCTACAATAAGAACTTCTGATGTTCGGTGGGAATGAGCTGGGATAACTCCTCCACTGCAAAGTCTAACCTCGCCAAAGCGATACCTAGACCATTCAAAGCTGGATATGCATTTGCAAATGCGAGAGTTAAATGGTTTCGAAAAATATTTGTGGTGGGTTTCTCACCACGAAACCCTGTGTAAACAAAGTCATCGCTAGTGACTGTAGCGGGATCTTTGCAAGCATATCCTTCTGGTCCCATCGGGCGACTAAGGTCTCCTACACAAAAATCGTGTTGGACGGCATGGCTAAAAGATGCTACGAGAGAGAGGATTAAGAAAACTAAAAGACTTTCCATCTAATTGAACGGTAAGGTAAGTAATTTGGATGTATGTTGTGCTATGTAATTTTGGTCTCTACTTGTTGGTGTACTTTCATGCATATCAAAGTGGCAAATCACTCCCTACTATATATATATGAGTTGCCTAATCATTTAATCATAGAGATTGCGCCCTTTTCTATGAAAAACGTTTAAATAATTAATTTTATTTATCGAGTGAATGATATGATTGTGTTCTTTATCAATTAAATGATTACATTGTTTTACAAGTAGATTCATGATGAATGTTGGATGCAAAGATGAATTGAAATGATGCCGAAGTTGACATTGGATAAGGGCAGCAACTTTATCGTTTACCTAAAAATAAAAATAAGTACTCGTACTATATTGATTTTTGAGTTTTACACTATTTACATATCTTATAATTTGACGGTATTTTCTAAGCTACTACTTCGTAACATTTAATAACAAGTGTTGTAATATCATATGTGATTAAAATTAATTCAATGTATATATTAGTATATAAAACCATCATCTTTATAAATTTATTACTAAAATATAATAACATATTATTAAAGTTAAAGTTCTACACTGATAAACATAAAAGTTAAATTTGTTTGATTAGTAATTTAAAAGTGTTCTTATTGATATCAAGTCTAATTATTCTTGTAGGTGTAGTTCACCCTTGAAATTTTTGGGCAA